TATTTTGGGGAGTATTCACTTCAAAGTTAGGTGTCTAATTTAGAAGACTAGCCTCCCAAACATACCTCTACAGCAGAGAAAAAAAAGATAAGCCAGTCCAATTTCAAAGGACAGTATCATTTAGATGCCTTCACATTATCTCTTAATGCAAACAACACCTGCAAGAGCATTAATGCTTGTTTCCTCTCAGTCTGACTTGGGAATCTAGTAAGTCACAAAAGTGTTTCATTGTGTAACCTTGGAGCAGAAAAAATTTATGGCTTTCTAGAAAGTTATTTACGGCTTTCCAGATCCAGGAACTCAGCATATGCACATGACCATACTCACTGTCATTTGCACAGGCTACTGTGGGTGACATCACATTGGCCCATTTCTACTGGATAAAAGTTGATCTGTGGGTACGACATTTTTCTACCCATCACACTAAGGCTCCCAGAACTACCGAGACATGTGGGGAGAGACTACTTCTCATTGACAGGTGAAATCCCTTCCTAGAACACAGGCTACTCAGTTCCTTAGGAACAAGAAAGAATATTCCCTCTGTGGGAAGCTCCACTAGGCACAAAATGAGATATTACTGGACTCACAAACTGAAATCTTCATCGGCTAATTTACTCACAAGACTTCTGCCAGACATTTTTAATAGCAGCTGTAAATCTCTTGAAATGTAGAGAAAAAGCAATATAATCCAATAAAAGAAATGTGCTTAGAAATCATTTGAGAGGAATTAACCAGATATGTAAGCCATGTAGTTTTAATTACATGTGAATGTGAACTGCTAAATTTTAAGGTCAACTATTTTTGTGTGTCTAATTTTATTACTTATTTTCTAAACACAGTTTCAACATAAAACAAGTCAGATTAAGAGTGAAAGAAAAAAATGTGAGAATAAAGAAATAACAAGCTGGAAAAAAGATCCATCAGGGAAAGGGGAAAGAGAACAGACTTAAACAAAAAGGTATCCAGGAGTATTTCCAATAAATCCAGATCAGAAATATATTGTCTTCTATGGCATATAAAGTAACCCTTAGTGACGGAAGACTGTTGGTGGATTATTTGGGCAAACTGATATGAAGAACAATATTAACTGCTAACCTAAGAAAGGGTGACAAACAGAAAATATAGCATATCTGGGAATATGGAAGTCACTGGCTCTATTTTTTGCCAAATACATTCAGTCACAGGAATCAAACATTTCTATACGGCATTTTCTTAATTAAAAAAAAAAAGAAGTTGCATTCTTGTTCAGTTTAGTGCTACTTTCAAAACTGAAAAGCTGAATTTGACAAAATCACTCCTGCAGTCAGAAAACCTGCATCCAAACAGGCAGGACAAAGTATTGTTTCTCTCTGACCAGTTCCACAGCAAATTTCCTTCCTCCAGGAGAGCTCTGTAAGCTCCAAAGTCCTCACCCAGAACAGCAATTACAAACAGAGACAGGTTCCAAATCCTTACTAAATCAACAGTCAGAATAGTGTGTCTCTAAAACATTTTTAAAAGTTAATTTATTGAGAAAGGATATATAAAGCGGGATGTATGTGACTATAATCTATAAGGCTAAGAGGTCTGGAAAAACAATGCACCCAGCTATTTTGTGGCAGTATTTTCTGTCAGATGTACACTACCTAATAAAATAAATTGCTTAAAGTTGGTATGTCCATTATTATTTTTACCATACACATGTATGTTTTTACCATACACATCTTTACAGGTATTTCTTTCCCAGAAAGGTGTATGTGAAAATCTCAGCGTACAGATAACGCCGCGCTTCCGGGCTCGCAGTCTGCAGGAATGCGGTCCCTCCCCAGACGGAGTGTCCAGGGAAGCAGCTGGGCACTGTGGGGCCATGCACGGCCTCTCCCGCACTCGTCCCAGCCACGCAGGGATGCGCGGCCTGCAGCACAGGCTCCTCTGCTCCCCCTCCTGGGAGGCCCGCAGAGCTGCCTTTCCCCACAGAGCACGGCCTGCTCGCTGCTCCAGGAGCCAAACGTGGCCGACATGGGTGTTTTTTGCAGAGGAAGCAGGAGCTGGGAGGTGGCAGAGCTCGGACCCTGCCGCTGCAGCGGGCAGCCTCTGGGGAAAGCCTTGCTCTCGGTTGGGAGGCCCAGGAGGCCCTGCTCCGTGGGCAGGAGGTGGTTCTTGACCCGCTGTGATTCCCTCTCAGCCTGTCTCTGTTGCTGGAGCCGCCACAGAAGCAGCAGCCATCTGGGGCGGTTTCCCCAGCAATTAGGCAGTGCGTATAGCACATGCAAGATGTCCACCTCGGCCATCTCCAGCCACCTGAGGTCCACCAGCTAACTGAGCAGCTAACGGAGCAGTATCAGCGAATGGGGCTGCCCATTGCAGTATGAGCAAACACACTGCAGTCAGCAATGGGTATTTACTGCACCCTGACTGGACAGGGGCTGGCATTTGTAACATTAGCAATCCAGATAAAAAGAAACAGCAATAACCGAAGCGGAGAGTAGCTCTTGAGGTCAGTTTTCATAGGGTTAAAAGCAAGCAAACACATTTCTGCACCAGAACGGGCAGAGCTGTCCTGAAGGAGAAACACAAGCTGAGCGTAAAACTGATCACAATGGAGCCAAGGCTTTTGAATGCGCCTGGGCACATCAATCACGCGGGCTCCCAGCCGCACCGCACCGCAACGTGCCGCGCGGCCGCCTTCCCGCGCCTTCGCACGGGCACCCGTCCACATCGCACAGCAACCCCACCACCCCTGCGCTCTGGAAAATAGATTTGGTCCTAATTTTTGTGACAGATGGAGTTGATATAGTCCCAGAATGAAAAAAGCGCCAGTTTTGACAGGCAGCAGATACTGATGCCCCTTGTGGTCGAAGCCTATGTTGCTCTGGAATTAAGGTAGCACCAAAACAACGGGTACGTGCACCACTTTTAGTATTTTGTTCTACTGCTCTTGTTGGAGACTATTTTTTGTGCCTACTTCCTTACAAACAAATAATGCAGAGTGTTGCAGGAAGGCAGCATATCAGCAGTGCTGTTTTATTTCAATAAAAACAGATCTCATCTTGGTAGCTGGCAGATTACAAGCAACTTTTAATCAGATGTGAGATCTTTGTGGGCCACTGACGAACAGTACTAAGATTCTGCACGTGTGGGAGCAAACATCCCTGCAAGTCAGCTTGTCGGGCATGAAACTATGGAGCAAGAAGCGAGCCTAAGCACGTGTAAAGGAGCGAGGCAGCACTAGGTCGAGCACGGCAGTGTGTCTACGGCTGCAGCACGGGGCTGAGCTCGGCTCCCCGCGCAGCGCTTGGGCTCGCTCTGCGAGCAGGGAGCCGGCCGCGCTCCCAGCCTCCTCACCAGGCGCCTGGGCAAGCAGCTCTGCCCTCGCGGGGGTGCAGACACAGCCAGGACGGAGCCCACCGTCCTCCCGCGGCCGGGCAGGGGCTGTCTGAGGCTGCGGCCGCGCTGGCCGCCGCGCCGCCTTAACGGGAGGAGGGGCTCCTCGGGGGGCTGTCACTCTCCTTAAGCCTTTCCTTTCAAGCTTTGAATGTGAGCTGCCCTCCAGCCCCCCTCTCTCCTCCCCTCCTTCCAGCGGATCGTAAAGAGAGGAGGGAAAGGGAAAAAAAAAAAAGTTTCAACAACAGGCTGCGCCAATGGCAAGTCGCGGAGCGGGGAAAGGGGCCGAGCGAAGGGAGAAAAAAGTGGAGAAAAGGAGAAAGAGAGCGAGAGAGCGCAGGCTGGGGGATGTGTAAAAGAAGAAGCGTTGCTAATTTTTTTGTTTGTTTGCTTTTCCATGCATGCATAATGAGGCCTAATCAGAGCACGTTGCCGCTGCTCGGAGAGCACTTTTGTATTTAAAGCCTTGCAAAGAGCAAGATCCACAGACGGATCCGCAGAGCGGCTGGCAGGGCTTGTTGACAACAGAAGCAGCAGCATCAGTCGCCCAGAGAGAAAGAGAGAGACCCTGGAGCCTGACTTTTTACTTCCCCGGTGCTGCCTTCCTGCTCGCGGCAGAGACGCGACTTCTCCCTTCTTCCACCCGGCCGTGCAACCCGCGCCGAGAGCGAGCAAGCGGAGCCGGGACTGATGGCACCGGAGCGGCTGGCATGTGCAGAGATGCTGCGAGCGGAGAGTTAGAAGCACCCGAGAAGGAGGCAGCAGCAACAGCGGCAGCAGCTGGGCGTGTATTTTGTGAAAAATCAGAGAGACGAGGAGCGGGCCGAGAAGCAGACCTGCATGAGGAGCCGGGCAGCAGCATGAGCGCCCGCGGCGCAGCCTGCGAGCCCGCGAGCGCCCTGCGGAGCGGCCCTGCGCCGAGCGGCCGCGCGCGCTGAGCGCCCGCGCCGCGGGAGCCGCCGCGGGAGCCGCC